AGGGTATGATTGAATTTTGTGTTGGTTGATCCGTAACTGTGACATATGTGAACTTTGCTTACGTTGGATTCGAGGTCGAGGTGACCTAACTTGTATAGAAAACTTACACTAGTAATACGGGTGAAAGAAAATTGAAACAACCTGAAAAAATTCAGTTTAAACTAAATATGAACCGAATCGAAATCGCAGTTCAATTTTAATCGAATTAGGTTTCATTGATAACCCCTACCTCTCTCTCCCTCCTTCACTTCACACCAACTCACGACACCCCCCCCCCTCCCTACTTCGACACACAACGTAGGCACCGCCCCATCCTCTCTCTCTTTGAACAAACCTCGAGGGCAGTCCTTTCTACCAACGATGACCTTCTCTACCGACGACGACATAGAACGAGAATCAGAGACTTTGAAGTCGTAGTGATGGACAACAAGCTTGTGTTGAAATCAAAGGCTAATGTGGTTGATTTGTGGGTTTTTTAGCAATACCCATATGAAATTTCTCAACAAAAACGTTGATTTCATCCCTCTTTTTTTGTTTCTTTTGATAAATAAAAAATAAAAAGTTTGACCAACAAAAATGGAAAAAACCATTTGACCTTGTGTTTGAGGTCTTGCGGGTTTTCTGTTTTTTTTTTCTCTTTTGAAAAAACAAAAAACAATTCGACCATCTCTCTTTTTCTGGTTTAACCCTAGTTGTGTCGGGTAGGGTTTGACCCGAAAACTTTCAGGTTGGTTCGATTTTGACCCAACAATTTTGATTTGAGTCGTTTGCCTTGAAACTTGACCCGGCCAGAACCGGTTACATGCCTAACTAGTAGGATGTTGTGCCCAACATATTTTGATTAGAGTAATGTCATGTTAAATAGGAATGAGGTGGGGTATGACTTATATTAAATATCTGTCGACATGTCTTGAATTTTAGCAAAATATTATAATTGAAGTTTGTCCCACATTAGAAAGATACAAGTATGTTCCAACTACTATAAGGRCGACATGACTTTGAATTTTATTCATTCAAGTTGAAATAAAGTCTGGTATACCCGCTCTAGTTAATTGATGAATATTTACTAACTCTAGTTAATTGAGTGATATCTACTTTGAAATGATGTTTTGTGTAATTGTGGCATGGGAGAGAAATCTGTGTGATTATAATAATTTTTCACATAGTTCTTTTGTGGACGTGCTTTTTTTTTCCAATTTGAAGTTTTCCACATTAATTATTGTGTTTTCTTTATTGTTGTCGTTCCTTTTAAATTCTCATTTATATTCTGCTTATTCCTGGGGTAGGAGACAGAAGTAGGTTTTTTCCTATCAAACATGTCGATCGACATTTCTATGTATCGGTGGATTCGACATGATTATCCATAGATGGTGAAATGTTTATTTGTTAATATATATATTTTTTACAATTTTTTTTTAATTTTTATAACTCTTCCAAAAGTATTGTTCGACATTAATATTTCCATTAACATTTTCATGAAATTGAGACCTCAATATTTAAATCGACATYGACAGTTAAAACATTAGATATGAGTGCACCTTTAATTTTAGAGTTCTTTAGGATTGTATCGTTGAGGCCAAAGTGAACATAGTCCAATAGTAATTGACGTATATCTACAACTAATAGGCTATGAGTTCGATTTCTCATCCCCATATATTGTACCAAAAAAAATATTATCGACCCAGTCATATACTTCACATCTCTACTTGAGTGTCATATGATGTGGCTAAGAGTTGGACCATAGGTCCGCCCCTAGCCACATGGCGCAGTGGTACAAGTGGGAATGGAAATTTTAAAACTTTTTTTCTAATAAGTTTTCGGGGAAAATTCGCTGATTGGGTTTTTTTGGAATATTCCCGAGCGGTTGGGTACGGAAAAATAAGGCCGCGGTCTGGAAAGTCTGCGGAGGTTGATTTCGCCACCGTCAACTTTATTGGATTCATTTGTTTTATTATAAGAAAATTTTATTTTATTCTTAAAGTACCAATTTTATTATTTTTTAATTGCATATTTAGTCTTATAATATACTTTCAATTTAGATTTTAGGATTTAGTCAAATGCCTATAAATCATTTTTTTAATTACTATATCAATATATGACGTTCTTTCTTTCCTTTTTTTTTATTTTTTTTTCAAAATATGTGAAATAAGTAAATATATTATATTTGCTTAATTGTATTAGTTACTTGTACTAAAGTCTAGGGTTGGGTAAAAAATAGGCAAAAGTAAATTTAATCCAATTATACCCGTATTAAATTAAAATTAAACTCAAATCATACTATTTAAATTTTGAAAGACAAAATTAAAATTAAGCCTAAACCTTAGGGTTAAATTAAAAATTTAACAAGAGTTTTTAATTTCTAAACTTTTAAATTTATCCATTTGGAACATAAATTGGATAAGTATTGCAAATGTTACTTTTTTTTTTCTTCTTATGACAAATTTAAGAGGTGAAAATTTTTATTGATAAATTATGCTCATGTTATAAATAAAATTTTGACCGTGCATAAATTTATAATAAAAATTGCAACTTACAAAGTTATATTGATATAGATATTTGTATGGACAAGTGTTATAAGCAATGACTCATCTAATATATAATGCTATGAACGATACACTAGATCTTATGATTATATTATGTTTGGATAGTTGATTAAAGTGAAATTTTGTAACGTATTAGGATATCCAATTAATGAGATGACTTAGATCGATTCGTCGGATTTAAATATTATTGATCGATTTACATGTATATCTAGAAATCTTTCTCATTATTACAGAAGATCCTTAAAAAAAAAGAAGAATTTGTATCGAATCAAATATATACTTCGTCTTTATTGTGATAAAACTTTGACTCGTAGAGTTTCAAGATAAATCTAGAGATGTTTATTAAAAATTTAACAAAAAATGACAAGAATGATTATTTTATGCAAAAATTCATTGGTAAGTTTTTCCTATCTCAAAGACTATTTAAATTTTTAGCCAAATTAAAGAAAAAAGTTTAAAATTTTAAACTTATTTTGAAAATGTTAATAAAAACTACCTAAAAAAATACGCTAAATAAAAGTCATATTTCTAAGTTAAATTTTAAAAAAAAAAAATAAAAAACAAATGATTATCCATCAAAATCTAAACATTTAAGAGTCAAAAAGAGAGCACTATATTATACTAAAGATTTATATATATAAAAGCCAACTTCAAATTATATATTTTAAGTAACAATTAAAGTTAGTAATAGTTTAACTTTACCTAACAAGAAACTAAGTTCATACTAACACAAAATAGAAAAAAATAAAATAAAATAAAATATCGTCATCTCTTACATTGTTCAAATGAAAAGTTGCTAGATTGCGCATTTTTTTTTCTAATAAAAAGAGCGTTACATATTTTGGTATTTATATTAATGATTAAACTATGTTTTCTAATCTATCCTACTTGTTTCTTTTCACACGGTTTCGTTTTGTTGCAAAGAATATTAGATTTTCATAATTTAATTCCTTAAAAAAAACCCATTTTACATGTTCACTATTTATAAAGTTAAATAATGTGGTAGTGGGCATGTGATGGTTATAATATTTTAATAGCAATAATTAATTGGTTTACTTTTTTCTTATTAGTTGAATAATAAATTGGTTTATATTCTATCGTGATTATTAACTCCTACAACTTAGAGTTTACTTGGGTCATTCAAATGGATTTTTGAATGAATTGATTATATGGGTAAAATCTTCAGTTAGAGTGGGATCAGAATCTGTCTTACGTGATCAAACATAAATTCAAATAGGTCGAAGATGAGATGGACTAAGCAAAGGTACCTCTGACCAACTCAGTAAAGTTCAGCTCAACATCGACCTGAAAACATTGGTGCAGCTGATGTAAAATCTGTTGGACATCAGATATCGAGGTACAAAATTTCTATGCAACATTCCTAAGCTCTGCTCGACACCTAGCTTATGCTAATTTTTTTTTTCTTTTAGTTTTGGAATCAAAGCCAGTCATGTGGCCGTCTTGTCATGGAACACGTGTTCAGATCACCTCAACTTGGACAGACGGGGGACAAGATGGGTTAGACAAAGTCACCTATAATTGACCCAACAAAAGTCCAGCTCGACGTTAACCTGAAAACACGGATGCAAAGGAGGATACATTCTTCATAAAGGTACACAATTTTCTAAGCAACCTTGTTAAGTTTGACTCGACACCAACTCGGACCAAATGATAACTTAAGTTTTTTAGCGTACGTAGTTGAACACTACACTAATGCAAGATTCTATTGGCAGGTCGTCACCTCGATTGACTAAGCGTCTACTTCGAATAAGAAGTCGACTCGTCATCTCATCCAAAATCCTACATCAACAAATTCAACAATATGTGGGTAAGATTCAAATCTCACTCTTTTTGATTGATGATATATGTCTTAACTAGGTCCAATTTTTTAATTTTTTTCAACTATATAAGTTTGAGAATTTAATTTTCGTAATTAAAAATTCATGTGTTTAATTATAAAACGACTAAATAAGTATTTTTTTTCTTTTTCTTTTTCTTGTGGCGAGGAAGATTCAACTTTTAACACGTAACGTTTCAACCATTTTAGTATATTATAATTGATTTTGTTTAATCTATTTAGTGTGATCCATTCTTAAAGTATAGATAAAAAGAAGGCGAGATTACAAGTTTGATCCAAAAAAATTTAGAATTGGTATTTATTTATTTTAAAATTTTAAAAGGTTAAATTACAACAATTTCAATTGATTTATTTTTTAAATAACTTTCAAACAATGCATTATTCTTTTAATATATTTTAAAAAATCATTATTTCGCAAATAAGTTTGAAATAAAACATTAACAATTAATTAAAATATCCTAATAAAAAAATAGGTTACTATAGTCAATGCAGAATAAATGAAAGTAGGTAGTAAAAAGAAAAAATAATAATAAAGAAGAAAAATAGAATAAAAAAGAGTTGTTGGATTGACGAGAAGAAGACAGTGGAAGACGAGGCCGAGTAACCAAGTTTGAAAAGACTGAACAAAAAAATGGAACAGATTATATCCGCGTGGACTTCCGATTCCAATTTCATCTCTCAAATCGAAATCCACACCCTATAAAATCCCACTTTCTTCCGCCTCAAATCACCCCATCCACTCATCTCTCTGTAGATTTTTCAACCGGAGAAGGAAAAAATCTTCAAATCTTCAAATCTTCGAGAAATCCCCTGTTTCTGGGTATCCATCCGCCATGGAAATGAAACTCCAGAGCTTCTTCTTCCATGCTCTGCTTCTCCTCTCCCTCTGCCTCTCGGCCTCTGCTCAGAGTTGCAGAAACTACAATGGATTCGCCAAMAACGAAGTCTTCGCGGCATGTGTGGATCAGCCTGTACTCAAMTCCTTCCTCCATTGGACCTATGAACAATCCAACAGCACCTTGAGAATCGCCTTCAGAAGGCCTTCCACCACACCCACTACATGGATTGCTTGGGCCATTAATCCCCAGAGCCTCCAAATGTTCGGATCTCAGGCCCTCGTCGCCTACCAGAATTCCTCCGGCGTCCCCCATGCCTACACTTCCAACATCGACTCCCCTCTTCCCAGCCTGCAACAGAGCCCTCTCAGTTTTCCGGTTCCGGATCTCAGAGCCACTTATGTGAACGGCGAGATGACCATTTTTGCGACCATGCGGCTTCCCGCCGGCTTGACCACCGTGAACCAGGTCTGGCAGGAAGGTCCGATGGCGCAGGGTGCTCCGATGGTCCACGCCACCACCGGCGATAACAGAAGGTCGGTCAATACCCTCAATTTGCTCACCGGCTCCAGCACTGCCGCGGTGGATGCTACTCTGAAGAAGAGAAATGTAAGAATTGAATTACTTATCTCATTCTTTGGATTTAATTTTTTCGAAATTTGGGGGAAATTCAATTTCTAACATCTAGGGTTTTTTGATTTGCAGACTCATGGAGTGTTGAACGCGGTTAGTTGGGGGACTTTGATGCCGATGGGAGCCATTTTCGCTAGGTATTTGAAGGTGTTCAAAGGTGCAGATCCGGCTTGGTTTTACCTCCACGTCGCTTGCCAAGCCTCCGCCTACGCCGTCGGAGTCGCCGGCTGGGCCACCGGAATAAAACTCGGCAGCGATTCCCCCGCCGTCCAGTACAACGTCCACCGCAACATCGGAATCACCCTCTTCGTCTTCGGAACTCTTCAGGTACGGTCAACGAAACCCTAACCCTAACCCTAACACCAATCCACAACTTCTCCAAATCTCCCATTGAATTTCTGGATCTTTTTTCTTCCGTTTTTAGGTGTTTGCCCTGCTTCTGAGGCCGAACAAGGATCACAAATACAGAATCTACTGGAACATCTACCACCACTCGATCGGATACAGCGTGATAGCTCTGAGCATCGCCAACGTTTTCAAGGGATTGGAAATCTTGNATTGTTTTTGTTATCTGGGTGTGTTTGATTCTTTGGATTTGTGAAATCCAATTGGGGATTGGATGAGATTTTGACATTTTGGGGGGTTTTGCAGACTCATGGAGTGCTGAATGCGGTCAGCTGGGGGACTTTGATGCCGATGGGAGCCATTTTCGCTAGGTATTTGAAGGTGTTCAAAGGTGCGGATCCAGCTTGGTTTTACCTCCACGTCGCTTGCCAGTCCTCCGCCTACGCGGTCGGAGTAGCTGGATGGGCTACCGGAATAAAACTCGGAAGCGATTCCACCGCCGTGCAGTTCAACGTCCACCGCAACATCGGAATCACCCTCTTCGTCTTTGGAACTCTTCAGGTACTGCATGTCAAGAATCTCTATAATATAGATTACTCCTTTCCTCTTTCCTCTTTCCTCTTTCCTCTTTGGATATTAATCCGTATCAGAGCTCAAAATGTTCAAACGAAATGTTTAAACGATGTAAGTGGGCTACTCGTTAGGAATTGGTTTTGAGATGTATAAGAATATTGATACCGTAAACAAAACCCAAATCAAACCAAAATTTCTCGAAATCTCCCTTGAAAGTTCCTTCCCCAACTCATAGTGTTCTTTGTTTTCTCAGGTTTTCGCTCTGCTTTTGAGGCCCAACAAGGATCACAAGTACAGAATCTACTGGAACATTTACCACCATTCGATCGGATACAGCGTGATCATTCTCAGCATCATCAACGTCTTTGAAGGTTTGAAGATCTTGAGTCCTGACAACAAGTGGCGACGGGTTTACACCGGAGTCATCATCTTCTTGGGTGCGGTCGCCGTCGTGCTCGAAGCCATTACCTGGTTCATCGTTATCAAGAGAAGGAGATCCAACTCCAACAAGTTCCCACACAACATCAATGGAGCAACTGGCATCAAAGGAGAAAACAGGGTCTAATTCTTCCCCTGTTCTAGTACAATCATTATTAGATTCCATTTGTTCTTCTCAAGTTGCTATAGATTTCTGAGAGATTTTGTTTTTCTTTGATTCTCATGAGTGATAGTTAGAGTAAGAGTGTTGTATTTGTTCTTCTTCATACTTCTTTGTATAGATAGAAGGATGTTTCCTTTTCATATCATTGATGATTATATTGTAGAATATTGTTTCCCACTATATTATCTCAATAAACAAATCTCTTCAGTTAAGAGTTATTCAACCTGTTTCCTTGTGGATCATTGCTTGAACTTTTGCATAGAAATTCTTCTAAGCAGTACAATGATTCGCAGGAAAGAAGGATCCAACAGAAAGCATATACAAAACATGCACAAAATGGATAATTATACAAAGAATCTGTATCAAAGTTAGAATTTACATCTTTTCTCTGGTGATATGTGTACATCTGCCCTTGATAGACATCTCTCATGCTTTTTATATCAAAAACCATGAAAACCATGACTTGATATCTACCTCTGGCTCAATTTAAGGTGCAATAACAAAAGAAAAAAAAATGGTGTATCTGAAACTGAAATCAACATTGGACCTCACAGTTGTACGATTCGGAGGACGGGGGATCGCTTGGTTCAAGAATGGTGATCTCTCTCATGACCTGAGTTTTATCTGCTTCGAACCCTTCATCCTCTAGAACCGAAAAGTGATCGAATTATGTACATTAGCACACATGAGATAATATTATGCATGGTGAAGAAGCAGAAGTTTCTTCTGTTATTACCTTTCTCTAGTTTAAGGTCGCTGAGAACTCGAAGAAGCTTGGTTCTATTTGCAACAAGTACACCCGTGATATCTGGAGGCTTGTTCTTATTTGCAACAAATAGCTAATAAACAAAAGAAAAAGAGAGAAAATTCAACTTTTGTTGAGGAATAAAAACAACTTTGCCGTGCAAAACCTTCAACAGCCTTCAGCAGTACCTTGAATACATCGAAGGCATCCCTCTGGATTGTCTTGTTTGGATCCTACAAGGCAAATATTTCAAGTGTGACAACAAAAGAGAGGTATAAACTGTCTGAAATCTTGTCTGTGAACTACTCTGAATATGACTACAGTCTAAGTCTCAATGTTGCATCGTGCACGTGCTCGTGTCGGTGCTTGAAAGTGAGAGTTTACCCTAAGAAGGTTCATCGCGATCCTCATATTATCCAAGGAGCTCACGTACTGAACCATCACAGCTGAGTTGGAGTTGTCGAGAAGTATATCGCCCAACAACTGAAGCAGGGTACGACATTAGGATCATAAAATGGCTGCCAATGCTTCTTGGTTTCTCTTCATGGAAATACATAATGTTTGAGATAATAAACCCGAAGCATTAATCCGAGAAACCGTATTCGAAACGACCATTGATTCCAGTAAAGTGAATCTAAGCAAGTAAATTATAACAGCATTGGCATAACTTGTCACAGGAAATGGTTCTCTCTTTACCTTCACAGCGTGCCGTTTGGTGATGTAATTTGTTGATTCCAGGAACTGCGTGTGGTATTCTTCAAAGATCTAAAAAATCAGAGAGGATTGAAAAACTTCAACAAACTTGTTCATCCAATAAAACCTAACAATGAACAAAATGACACCACAGATATTCTAACGAAAAACAACTTTATCTAATGCGTACCCACTCGTAATTTTTAGAAAGAAATCCAGCCACAGTAGATTTATGCCTTGTCAAAAGTTTCTGCATAGAATTAGTTCAGGATGTTTCAGTTTATTTGACAGACAGATGATTCTCTCAATATGCTAAACCAATGAACTACTAACTTTTATGACATTAAAGAAAGTTAATTCGATCATCGCAAGCAATCGGTATGTAAAGATACAAGGCTACAGAAAACAGAATGGACATAAGATATGCAAAATGGAGGAGAAGGAAGAAAATTCACTGTCTTACTCAACTCTAAAAGTTGCAGAAGCATCTGATGCTATGTAAAATATTGGATTTTGTATGTATTCAAAAAACTTCCTCAGAAGCTCTGATTCCAGGACATACCTGAACCGTAAAGGATTAAGGAAAAAGAAGGAAAAAGAAGAAGAAGAAGAAGATAATACCACTAACTAGAGCTATTCACAATGGCATGGTACATACAGCACTCAATAGTTTCCCCTGTTCTTCCCAGTTTCAAACATTGGCACAAAAATGTCAAAATGACATTTCTGTGGACTCGACTTCTGCTTTGCAATTCAAGACACAATCTCTTTGAGTATATGTTTGCAAGAGAAGAATTAACTTGTTCATACCTAGCAACAGATTGGTGACGAATGCATTCTCTCGCAATTGCGCCGTAAGTTAAAGCGATGTCACTGTCTTCGTAACTAATTCAACCAATCATTTACCAAAAATGAATGAATGAATGTCCTGTAATGTTAACCATTTGATAGTTCAATCCTAAAACAATACCAACTTCTTACCCCGGTATCAAAATATCCATAATATCCATGTTGTTCTCGAAGAATTCGGAGGCAATTATCCGCGACTTAACCTGCTGTTGCTGCAGATTGGCAATGACATGAGTTGCACATTGTCGGGACTGCACATAAGGATATGCTAGTCAAGCTACACAGCTTCAGAACTTGGAGGTTTATGAAATGAATCAAGGGACTTATCCAAAAGAACATTCTAAATGAAACTAAGAACATGTAATTGCAAATGCAAGATCATTCACCCCTGAGTTCAGCCTCGGAATGCAAGCTATTAAAAGGCGAAACGTATCGTCCTTGAAGAACTCCTGTGTCAACTGAGCACAAGCTTCTGGATTTGGCTCTGCTACATCATTTCCATAAAGAACCGTTCTCATCTGAGAGATGGCCTTAGTGAGCTCAGATATCTGCAACGATTTAAAAGGAAAGATAAACCCATTTGAATATCAAGGAAAAACAAAACACATTCAAATATGAATAATCAATTAAGTAATAACAAATGTAACTTGAAAAGAAAAGGCAAAGCCCATTTTCTGCATTTCCACGAGCAAATGAGGCAAATTTAGAACTATTGCATGTAAAAGCTTGAACCGCATACATATGACAATTACCAAACAAAATAGAAAGAACGATGTCGATTGCTTCAGCTTCAAAGGAAGCAATGGTGAAAACGAGATGAAAAATCGAGGAAAACGATAAAGTGACCCTCATGAATCCTTAACAAAATCGTGCAGAAAAACAACCCCAATAAGAACATTAATACCTTCTCTTCCCGCTTTTGCTCACGAGCCTCGGGATTCCGCTCAATGAAAATGAGGAGCTCACGCGTGTACCGCACGAGCTCCACCGGCGGTCGTTGCTTCGGCTTGAAAAGTCCCTTCATCTCTATTCGGGTTTCGATGAATGCAACTCTTCCTCCTCAAAATTTTTTTCTTCTCGAGAAAAAAAGAAGGGAGATGAGAAAATGGGAAGAGGAGAAAGGGGCGAAGGCGTAGTTGTGTACCGGTTTTGTGGGGGCGGAATTGAAGTAATGAGGCGTTGGTTACAAATATAGAGGAAAAAGGAATCGACTTTTACAGCGGTGGCGCGTGTACTTTTGTTCTCTAATCACAACCGGTAATTCAATCCTGAAATTGGAAAAGACCCACTTAAAATATGCGCCATTAATCGTAGTCCATGATTAAAAATTAAAAATTTATGCGTTTATCAAGATTCATTAAAGGGATACTTTAGTATCATATAAATTCAATTTTCGATCAGAAAAATATCCAAAGTTCCACCACACACAGCATCAGAGGAGAGGAGAGTCATATCTTCTACTCTCTCTTTTCCTCTCGCGCCTTCAAATGTTTATACTTCAAAGAATGGCGAGTTCCACTGGGTTACTTCTAAATCCGCCTCTCGTAAGACCCATTTCGTCGAATGTTTCTCCACATCGTTTCTTCCTTGCAGTTGCAACCCAATTTGCAGGAAATAGGGACAAATCTCTTTTCCATAGCAAGAAGGCAAATGGGTTTTCGAGTTCCGTTGCAGTGGCTACTGATTCCTCAACGACGTCAGTTTCGACCCAGAACGAGGATTTGGTGGAGACCCAGAAGGAGGAAAGCGAGAAGGTCGTTCTTCCAACTAATGAATCGTCGGAGAAGCTTCTCAGAATTCGTCACACGGTAATAGTTAACATACTGGTTGCCATGAACTTGTATTGTAATCTATTTTTTCTGTGATTTCTCATTATGGAGTTTCAGCTGATTATTCTTTGAGTAAGGTTTTAGTTTCTTATCTGGGAATTTGAGGAATTCTGGTGCTTAAACAAGGTTCTTAACGTGGTTTTCCTAAGAAATTTAGGTTTGAACTAGGGAGGAGTTTCATAATTTAAACAGGGTGTTGCTAATCTAACAGGGTTTTCTGAATTAGAATTTGTATCTTAGAGGTAAGCATCAATGTGAAAATTTTCTGGGATTTATGAATCGTGCTTTTGAAATTATCTTCATGAAGGACCTATTTTTATGCCTTCGTTTGAACTGCTTGATATATTTATACAATTGCAGTGTGCCCATGTGATGGCCATGGCTGTTCAGAAGCTCTTTCCAGATGCTAAAGTGACAATTGGGCCATGGATAGAAAATGGGTTTTACTATGATTTTGATATGGAGCCCTTGGGAGATAAAGATTTGAAGAAAATCAAGAAGGAGATGGTTGGTATACAAAACCTTTGAGCACTGAAGTCACTGGACTTTTTCTTCATAATTTAACATCACAAGGTTTGGAATCTATGAATTAGTGTATGCTTTCCGGGTATGGAATTTATTTCTTATATTATTTGTAGGAACGCATTATTAGCAGAAACTTACCACTTCTAAGAGAAGAAGTTTCAAGGGATGAAGCTCAGAGAAGAATTATGGCAATCAACGAACCTTACAAGATGGAGATTCTGGAAAGCATAAAGGAAGATCCCATAACCATCTATCATATTGGTAGGGATTGCAACCATCTTTGTAATTATTTATTGCAACTGTTGAGATTCCTTTGTATTTAATGCTTAACAACTTTAGATATTCTTCTTGAATTGAAGGTTTGACCATTTTATCTTCTTTGTAATTGCAATTTGGCATATGAATACCTTGAGTTTTGACTCTTTTTCTTTTTGTTTCCAGACGGCTATATTTTTTGTTCTATAAATAGGATTTTCTATTAAATTATATCTCAAGTTTTTCAATCAATAGAACATTTTCACTTCAATGTTTTTCTCTCAGTTTGCTGTTGTTTCTGGTTCTGCAACTCTTATTCCTCTTATTCTTCTTATTCCTTTTTTCCCCTTCTAGAATGATGTTAGAAGTTTGTGCATTTGGCTGAAACTTAAAATGGGAGCAAGATTGGGACTTTTCAAGCTAAATATTAAAAACAGTATACTCCAACCAGTTTTACAAGTTTCATATTCATCACCAAATTTTCGTTCTTCTATACACCATAAAAAGGAAGAGCAGGATTGTGTTGGAGATGACTAGATTATCATTATTATTATTTTTTTGAAAAGATGTTAAAGATTACTTTTTCATTTTTGGGGTAGATGGTATATTTATTGTTCTTTACTTGGTTAACAGACCTCTTACGTGGGCTGTTGGAGTCAAAAGTGCTTATGAAGCTTGAACAAATATAAAATTTTCTTGTAAACACTTTGAGGGTTTTTTTTTTATCTATTTGTTATTTATCTTTTTTGTTTTCCTTATGTGGAGAGATTCAAACATGTCAAGAAGGGTGTCCAAGGGATTTGTCCATATTCCTCATTCAAAATGCTATAGATTAATTTATTTGAAGACTAGTAAATTAAGGTAGATCAACTATCTAGTAAATTAAGAACATCCTGTGGTGAGCTTGGTCTATTTTGATCAGCTGCTATTCCCATCCCTTAATTTCATTTGAAGATTAAATATGTAATGCTCTCTTCAGACTTTAATTGGGATTAGGTTGAAGCTTAAAATTTTCCTAATATCTTCATTCATTGTAATGCCCTGTATTCTCCACAGGAAATGAGTGGTGGGACCTTTGTGCTGGCCCTCATGTTGAATCTACTGGTAAAATCAACAAAAGAGCTGTTGAGCTTGAAACCGTTGCCGGTGCATACTGGAGAGGAGATGAGAAGAATCCAATGCTACAGAGGATCTATGGCACTGCATGGGAGACGGAAGAACAATTAAAAGCATACCTTCACTTCAAAGAGGAGGCTAAACGACGCGATCACCGACGCCTTGGGAAAGATCTTGATCTATTTTCCATTCAGGTTTAGATTGCCTCGACTTCTGATTGTTTGCAAAAGTTATGCTCTTAGAATTCGGTGGTCTGAATTATTTTAGAATATTGGCTGAACATAGGATGATGCTGGGGGAGGTTTGGTATTCTGGCATCCAAAGGGTGCCATCGTGAGGAGCATAATTGAAGATTTGTGGAAGAAATTGCACAGGCAACGCGGTTATGATCTGCTCTATACCCCACATGTGGCGAAGGCAGAGCTTTGGAAAACCAGTGGTCATTCAGACTTCTATGGAGAGAATATGTACAATCAGATGGACGTTGAGGATGAGTTATATCAACTTCGACCTATGAATTGCCCCTACCACATTCTATTTTACAAAAGGAGGCTGACCTCATATCAAGATTTTCCTATTCGGGTCGCGGAATTGGGGACGGTTTATAGATATGAGTTGTCTGGTAGCTTGCACGGGCTTTTCCGTGTCAGAGGTTTTACCCAGGTATACATTATGTTGAATGCTGTCGCTCTTTTGCATGTTGAAATTTTACAAGTTGTGATCTGCTAGTTCTGCTCTATGCAAAAGTCGAAATTGACTCGATGTGGCTTTTGCAGGATGATGCTCACATATTTTGTCTGGATGATCAAATCAAAGATGAAATTAGAGGTGTCCTAGATCTAACAGAAGAATTATTACTTCAATTTGGCTTTAACAAATTTGAAGTCAATCTCTCTACTAGACCACCAAAATCAGTGGGGAATGATGAGATCTGGGAGAAAGCAACATCTGCTCTTAGAGATGCTCTAAGTGATAAGGGGTGGAGCTATCAAATTGATGAAGGTGGTGGAGCCTTTTACGGACCGAAAATCGATATTAAGATCGAGGATGCATTGGGAAGGAAGTGGCAATGCTCAACTATTCAGGCAATGCCTCAACTTAGTATTGCTTTTTATTGGTAGATTCAAGCAGGATTTCTCTCTCTCTATCCTAAAATCTTCTGAATTTGTACAAACTGAAGTTCAAGGCAGTTTCTATTGATAAAATGGCAAACTATCGACTACCATAGGTTGACCCAGTGGCCAATAAAGACCAATATAAATAATAAAAGGCAGAGAGAATGTGTCATCTTCTTAGAATTTAATATCTTATGAGTTACTTTTGCAATCAAATAAATGCTAGGGTCAGGCGGTTGTCCTATGAAAATAGTGGAAGTGTGCGTAAGTTGGTTCAAATAAACAAATATAGGAAACAAAAAAGCAAAGCTATCTTACTTGAGTTTGGTCATGCAAATATGTTTTTTTTCCTTAATATTTAAGTTTTGGTTTTTCAGGTTGATTTTAATCTACCTCAGCGTTTCGACATCACATACGTTAATTCAAACTCGGAAAAGAAGAGACCTATCATGATTCACCGAGCGGTGCTAGGATCCTTGGAGCGATTCTTCGGTATTCTAATTGAAAACTATGCAGGGGATTTTCCACTATGGCTTTCTCCCGTCCAAGTCCGAGTTTTGCCCGTGACGGACTCCCAGGTGATTAGCTATATGTATAAGAATACAACTACCAACGGTTCTTGATTACATTAGTAATCTTGTAGGACTTGTTTGGACTGTCACGAAGAATTTGCATGATCTTGTCTTTATCTTCTATGAAAGTTCATGTCTATGGTGGCATGGCGAGGGTCACTCGGATGGACGGGACCTCGTAAATTTGATTTACTAACTGAACCATGTCTATAGATTCATCTTAGGGATTAAAGTTGTAATCTCTCACTGAAATCTCCATTGTCCATTGTATGTTTATCCCAGCTCCCCTACTGCAAAGAGGTGACCGAAAAACTCAAAGCGGTTGGTGTTCGAGCAGAATTTTGTCACGGGGAGCGGCTGCCTAAGCTTATTAGAAATGCAGAGACCCAAAAGATACCGTTAATGGCGGTTGTTGGCGCCAAGGAAGTCGAGACACAAACTGTGACAGTGAGATCCAGGTTTGGTGGGGAGATAGGGACCATAACAGTTGATGATTTTGTTGGAAAAATCAAGTTTGCCTCGGAGAATAGAACATCATTTTGAAGTTCTTTGGTGGGATGAATTTTGACCACTGTATTTTACTTTTATTTAACTTGAGATTGCCTCATGGAGGTTAATTCTCAGTGTACTTTTTGAATAATTTTTCACTCCATATTTTTACTGTAAATGTCAATGTAATCCTGTAGTTAGAGGAGTTTTCTTTTCCTTTGAAGGGAATAATAAGTAAAGATATACTTCTTATTTTCTTTTTCACGTCATATATAATTGAATTTTTTGTTATATTTTATTAATTTTTCAAAAATATAAATGGAAGTATCATTAGCTGACTTCTATAAAACGGAAAATGACAAAAATGAAAATCTCATTAAAACTGTAGAAAATATAAACAAATAAATATATCTTTTTTTCCTTAAATTCCATCCCCCACCCAAAAAAAGGGAAATCCAAAAATAGTAATAGTTTGACGAATTGAGTTTATATATTTGAATTAACAAAAGTATCTGTAAACCAACTTTTAATTCTTATAGAAATATCAATAAATATTCTTAAACTATTTAAAAATAATAATAATAAATATTCTTAAACAATGCATACAAATATTTAAATTAATAAATAAATATTTTAGACTGGTTCTCTTTATACTTTCAAATTTGGTCTACTTGGAGCCTGTACATTTAATTTCCATTCAATTTAATTCTTTAGTCGTAAAATACAGAAACCCTTCGTACAAACTTGTAGCTACATTTCAAGAAATCTATTGAGTTTTAGCATCATGTTGAAATTATGAAAGAACCAAGACAGTCACTTTTTAAAAAGACAAAGATCAAAATCGAAGTTTTTACCTTTTTAATTCAGATTTTAAAATTGTGATCTTAGTTTAAAAAACTAGTTATCAACTAAGTTCAATCTAAAATGTTATGACTAATTTATTAACCTATATAAATTTTGTATAATTATTATTTTCCAATGTTACATAATTTATAATATATTATGTTTTGCAGGTATTAATTTTTAAAAATAAAGAGTTCATAACATGAAGTTTTGTATTTATCAAAGCTTTTTTTTAATGATATTATATATATTAAAGTTTCAAATTTAAAATATGGAAACACTTGAAACATCAAAACGTTCTCAAAATTTTCACTATTTGGATCACAGAATCCAAAACAATTTTCAAAAACAAATCTGCAGCAAAATATTGATTGATTCAGTGAATCTAAAAACAAGAAACAAAATTCAGATGTTTGCCAAAAAGTTTCGAGTCTTGAAAATTGAAAATAACAAAGATATATAAGAGAGACTATAGGGAATTCGCAACATATTTAAACTCAACAAATAATTGGCATAACAATAAATGTTCTTTATTACAGTATGACACTTGGCCTTACCACCAACATTTAAGAAATAAAATAAAAATCCATTAAACCTATTAATTATTATTTTTTCTTTTGAAAAAAATAATAATAATAAAGCTAGTGCTAGAAATTCTGTCCTAACCATGAAAACCAAACAGGAAAAGATATCATATGGGCAAGACTTACAGGTACAAATGATCTGTACACAAGACTTTACACAATTCTTTTCAGCTTCTTGGAATGCAAAAGTTAGAGGGATGTTATTTCTTTCCCCGTCAACTGCATTGGAGATCAAATTTTCAGTTTCGAGTAGAGGTAACTCAGTTTACCAGAGGAAGAAAACGTGGGATTCGCCGAGAGGCCGGTGTAGTCGTTGTTCGCCTTTGCTACACATACTTTTGCCACATAATCGAAAGCCGAGTTCGCTCTAACGAAGGGTTGATCAGCATATTCATCAATGGGCATCCACTGTTTGGGGGTGGAACAATGTCAGAAAATGAAACAAAAAATCATCACAACAATTTACAGCCAGAAAAATATGCAGGTTTCGTTATCGTTATCATAGTTGTCTCATCACCCTGCTTCATCGTCGAAAATAGCCTTGATAATCTTTCTTAGAATGTGTATATAAGGGATGTGTTGATACATATGAATGTTCGATATTCGAAAAGGTCGAGGCCGAGGTAGTATCATATTCCTGGATAAGTGTTCTTAATCAACAGTTCTGTAAGACAACTAATCTAGACAGCAGGATGTGACCGTCCTAAAGTTTAGTTTAGATTATTGATCAATCATTGAAAATGGAAACATTGGATTCAAATTTTGGGGCTTTGATTAATATATCAAGGTGGCACTTTTACTTGCTTGAGAATTTAAAAAAAATGAAATAACTCATCAATTATCAATCATGTTCTACAAGACTATACCTTGGCCGCCTCGATTTCCGACGCTTGCTTTTGGATGTCGTAGGAAGATGGTCGTAACATACATACGAAAAACAAATCCGATTTCGTAAAAAATGAGTTGTGGCTTTGCCTGCATCAGCCAAGAAATAAGATATTAAGAAGTCCAGATTAAAGGACTATGGAGGAAATATCAAAAGGCGAGGTGGAGAATACAAACCTGAAAGCTAACACTTCTACAAATTCTGCATCAATCTGAAAGGCAATCAAATGAAGCTGTTAAAATAAAATTTAACAAAATAAGAAGAAAAAGAAAAAATGGAAATTGGTTGCTTCTTGTTACTTACATCAGTCTCTTCTTTCACTTCTCTAATTGCTGCTTCACAAATATCCTCTCCCTACAGAAAGAATAGGTACATTAGGAGTTTGCAATAATAGCAGGTTTAGCCGAAATAGTGACACATTTATCACATGATGAAATACTTTGCAAAAAAGACACAAAATCTCGTATATGACTGAAGATACGTATATTAGTGATGTACTTTATACTAGGTATATTAGTGATACAAAAATGATAAATGAGTGCTTATACAAAAGAAAGATTTATCATATTTGTAAATTATTCTTATGTGTAACAAATTTGTAAATAAAGCAACTAGTTGTGCCATCCACTATAATTTATAGCATATGAAGGCTTATCGAATTGAGACAACTGCAGCAATTCGAACTTTGCTCACCTCATTAACCACTCCAGTTGGTAACTTCCAAACTCCTGAACCTTTGAATTTGCCACCGATCTCTTGAACCACAAGCACCTACAAAATGAGAGTGTTAATGTTGGATACCAAAACAAAGAGCTCTTCTAAGTCAACCCTTTCAAATAGACAGTCGATTATGATAAATCGTTTCTCCTTAGATCTTTTTGTGTTTCTGGTATTCATTAAGTGTGGATATATATATATATATATATTAGGGATGAAGGTGAACATTGATTTCCTGAAAAACAAAACCAAGGTGTCCAAATGTTTCTATAGAACTGAACCAAACCAGTCAGTTTGGACCGATTCGGTTCAGTTTGTTGGTTCACCGATTTTTTTTTCTTGTCACCCCTAATATATATTTATTATAAAGAAAATTGAGAACCCACCAAAAAAGCATCCACCCAAAACAGTGGGGACACCTCCACAATGTAATTACAAAAAGGGCCCCAACTTTTGGAGATGGTATTCTTCTTCAGATCACAAACAAATAACATGAACTTGGAAAGTACCTCCCGATTAGTATTCATTACAAATGCACCGATGCCCACACGATGAGAGGCATTATGAGGAAGAGAATTGGTAGTTTCAGAGATCCATCGTACAAGCATTAGGTAATTAGGTTCAGCATGGTGGAACACGAATCCTTCCTGAAAGTTAATCACAAAAAAGCAGCATTAATTTGAGAAAGTGACTTAGACATTCTTATTTTTCTCAAGAAGATATAGAAGACAAGCGGGTTTTAACTTCCAGCTAATTAAACCACCATGGTTTGACCTAGTGGTATAGGGATATGTGAAAAAAGTAATGGGAGAACATTGGGGAATGAGCTTAGACACCACGAGATTCTTGACAACCAAATGTTGCAGAGACTCTAGGAAGAAAAAAATAAAAAACAATTTAGGCTAAATTATAGTTTTTGCATCTAGACTATACATGACTTTTCAACTTTACCCCTAAACTTTCAGAAATTTCAAATATGCCTTTCAACTTCTTCTCTTTCCTTTTGGGTCAACGCTATTTTTTAATGGAAACATGAAGTAACATCTATGCGTATGTTTTAGTTTTGCTCTTAAACTATATATGACGGTCAATTTTGCCCAACTAAAATAATAAATAAGTTATACAGTTTCATTTAATAAAGTTGGTGTAAACGTGATTTTGAAACAATCAAAAATTTGAAGGGCACACGGGAACTTCTGAAAGTTAAAAGGTAGAACAAGAAATTTCAAACATAGCACAGGAGAAAGACATATAATGTAGCCTTTAACTTTAGACAAAGTTGAAGGATACCACCCAAGGAACAGAACTTCTTTTTAATCATAAAATGGATTTAACATGTTGGATTTGTAATTATCTGAATTCTAGATATACTTCATCTTAATTTTAATATAAGATTATGTACCATGTTATTATTCTCAAACACAAACACCACATAAGTTTTTAAACTATAGACACATTAATATGATTTTAGAACAACGGTCTGTTATGGGTTTGTAAGAGTGTAATATACCTTAACAACAACTTCAACCAGATTTGCAAGTTCAATAGGCAATTTGATCCAAATACCCCTCTTACCCTGCAAGTCAAATCGCATACAGAAATCATAAATGGGAGTTGAAGACCACTATAAAGAATCATGTTCAACTTATGGACAGAAATCAAGTACCAGCTGTCTCCATTGAGATAATGAAGCTCTAAGCAAAGATCCAAATTCCTTTGGATCTATAGGGTCCTTCATTTCTACAATAACGCCTCCATAATGATCATGAACTCCACTCAGCAATTCAAGCTGTTCAATATTATCCTGACGAATCTCTTCCTCTGCACTTGCCAACGAAGTTGATGAAGAGGACATGCCTTGGCTGAGGGATAGACGTTTGTTCGTTAGGTATGAGTATGAAGCAGTAACTGCAAGAATGACAAACAAGAAAAAGCCCCAAAAAAGAGCCCACAATAAGTCCACATGATTCTGCAAGAATTTCGACCCAGATAAATCCATGCCTTCAATCCCAATCCCAATCACCAGTTTCCTCCTCCAATGGGGAAATGGAATTGGGACTTCCATAAATAAATCAAAACAGAACCCATTAAACTATTGCGATAAATCAGAAACCCCATGACAAACAAAAGAACAACAAGAAAACAGGCAGCGGTCATACGTATTCTGAAGTCCAAAGGGGAAGATGACGAAGAATTCAAGGAAGCTCGATTCGGTAATGGATAAAGTGCAGAGAAGGCCATCGGAGAGGCCTTAAATACAGAAAGGTAAGGATAGAATTTGATAAACTTTAACCTCTGCATGAAGAATAACCAACCCAAAAAAAACCGAACCCCACGATTGGTACAAAATCAAAACAAACGACAGAGCACTGAGGAAGATTTGGTGAAACTGATGGATATAAAAAATGAAAAGAATAGCCATTTACCTTGAATTTGGGTTTAAGAACTTCGAAGCTTCCATAGACCACCGCGGTTGAATCTGTTAAAGTTGAAGGAACGCAGATCGTGAAGACTGGTCAGAACCCAGATGAGACGCTGCTTCCTACTTTCCTTCGACGAATTGGGACATTTGATTATAACTTTTTGTCTGAATTTTCCTTCGGGCAAAATCAAAATTCTCGTGGAAGACGAAGAACTAAGAAGATTTCTTCATTAAAAAAGGGAATATCCCCAATATCCCAAATTCTTCTTGCGAAGTCCGAAGTGAAGAATGTTTCCTTAATTAGGATATTTTGAATTGATTATTAAAGATTTTTAGTTTTAAACTGGGATCAAATCTACCATAACGGTTATTTTAGTGTTTTTTTAAAAAATAACGCCTGTGGGAGACATATGTCAATTATTGTTGGTATTTTTACTTTGACGTTATTTTAGTGCTTGATTATCATGTAAGAACTTGAATTTTTTTAATATCTAGTTGTGATTTAAGGATTGTTATAGTAGATTTAGCCTGTCATATAAACCACTCGATCGAGAACGCAATATAAGCCTTATTTCGAATAGAAAAAATATTTGACTCCTTGTCATTATTACTATTAAATATTTGATAATTAAAAGATAAATGCAAAAGTAAATTTTTTTTTAAGTAATAAGTTGTCAATTTTTGAATGGTAGTGAGAACAAGATTTAGTCCTTACAATTAAGGAATTAAATATTTTCCTTCGAATAGGTTGACGACGAAGTAGGACATGCGAAATCACCTATGAACCAGACCAGCAGAAGTCCAACTTGATGCCAACATAGAGAGAGTGAATACTACCAATATAGGATTTGCTGATATCAGACCATATCGACAGGGTTGTGCTCTTCAAAGCTTCCCTTCTAAAAAGACAAAGCCCTATCATTTCAAAGGTAAGTATTTTTTCTATTTAACCTAACCAAGCTCAACTCGATAAGACTAAATTATAATTTAAGTTTTATGGTGTATGTAGTCAAGCACCACATCGATGCAATATTATGTGTGCAAGTATTTGATTCAGTTGATCGGGAGTCTATTTTAGAAAATTTTGTATCTTTTGAGTCGTCAATTAGATCGAGAATAAAAAAAGAGGGAAACTGAAAGAGTTGACAAACATGCAGTGGTATATAAAACATGCCAATAGTAGTTGAGATAGTGGGAATTAGGAATCTACCACTCAATGAAGAGAGGAATGTGAAAGCCAATGGTGTGTTTTTTCTTTTCCTCCTCTTTCTTCTTTCTAATGAATATAAAAAAATAAAAATAAAAAATAAAAAATTGATATATGTATTACTTTTTATATTGACAGTCCTTATCGCACTTATAAAAGCATAAAAATTACTCTAACATAGCTTACAATCAAACAATGCCACGTGGAACACACAGAAAAGTCAAACAATTGTCAAACTTTGCATAAACAAATTTGACGTCATCTTCCATCCTAATTCGCTCATATATATTATTGGTATTAAGCTTCATAGAATTTATTTGGAGACATCCAAGAAATTCTATCATAATCATTTTCTATTCTTTAAGGTTGTTGGTTTCATTTACTTTTCTATATATTTCATGTCTAAATCATTTTTACGAAGTATAAAAACGATATCATATGAAGGTATAGAATCAAAATTTTAGCAGAGTCGATACATCAATTAATAATATATTACCTCCTTTTATTTTTAACTTTAAATTTTTTTTTTCATTTTTATAATGAAAACCAATGACGGTCGTTATTGACCTAACAATAGTAGTATTCTCGTTTCTTATTTCTTATTTTTTATTTATAATTTTTTTAGAATTATGAGTATTTGGCAATTGTTTCTATTTCTCGTTTCTCAGGAAACGTTTTCAAAATGTATAAAAATTTTAGAAATAACAAAATTATATTTCTTATTCCTATTTGCAATTTGTTTTGCAAATATATAGATAAAAGTATTATTATTTTATCGTTTTTTTTTTATTTTTATAATATATAATTTAAATTAGCTATCTTCCCTTTCGAGGTTCGCGGAACGGTTGGGTAGCGGTGCTCATCGGTTCGGTTAAATTGGGTCAAGAGGTTTTAAGAGTTAAATCCGATTACTCGAGTTGCAAATTTATAGAATCAACTTAATTTAACCATAAAATATCTAAGTTGAGTTAGTTTATATTTTATTTTAAAATAATTGAAATTAAATTAAGATAAGTGGAGTTGGTGTTTTTCTTCCTTTTTGTGAAAGATTATAATCCAATAAAAATTATTTTTTGAAAGTTGTTGGAGGGTTAAAAATTTAACCTAGAACTCTAGGTTAAAGGGGCCCAGCCCACTTAAATGAAGTATGTCATTTAAAAACCACTTTTAACACGTGGTAGGTCAGAAAGTAGAGGTTGTAGTGTAAATAAGATTTGTCGATCAGTAACTATGTCGTTCTTTCACTTCCTACCCTATCGAACATTATTGACTCTACTCGATCTCCACACCATCTCCACATTAAATTATTATATTTGCAAAATGGCCCAAAATTCTAGCTACCTACCGTATATTGAAAAAAAAAATAACATATGTGAATAATTAATTATGATACATGTGAATAGATAGTTATCAAATTAAATAAATACAACAAATTAGTGGTTGGTAGGTAGAGATTCACCATAAATGTAGCTATCATATTCAATTTATTATTGTTTTTTTCTCAAATAAATATTGATTAATTGAATGGTCCAAACCATGAACTATGCAATAGGAAACAATATGGTTTCAATTTTTCTTTAATTTATTGAGTTTGTCAATGTTTCTTATAAACTCCTTCAAATTTACAAAAAACAAAAAAACAAGAAAAAGGGTCTACAAATAAACTATACTATTTTTTAAATAAAAATATATAAAATGTTGACATATTTAAGAATATATCAATTTAATTCCTAAACTTCAGTTTGTAACGATTTAGTCTCTCTACTTTCCCAAAAGTAACAATTTAGTCCCTATCGTAAATTTCTTTTATTAAAATTAAGTGTCAAATTTTACCATATAACAATTTGATCTTTCTAATTCATTAACATATTTAGTCCACCTTTAGTTTATCAATCCATACATACAATCAATTCTGCTCCATCGTTACCAACTTTAAATTACGACGACTAAATTATTACATATTAAAGTTCAAGGGCTAAATTGTTACCAATTTGAAAGTACAGTCTAAATTATTATAAACTTGGGAGTAAAAGTATTTTTTAACCATTATTTTATTAGGTTACTCGACACAGGTTTGAGAAGAGATAAATAAAAAAAACGAATAAAATTAACAAAATATCAATTCATTAATAAAAATTACTTTAAAGAGGAATGACACCCGACCATTATTTTTCTCTAATAATCTAATTTAAGAATAAAAATTATTGTTCCACGAATACTATAATTGATAAGTTAGGTTCAAATTGATTATATTTATAAGGAATATGGCTAACGATAAATTTATATGTTTTAAATTTTAGCCTTTTTATTAAGGCATTGCCAATTGAGTGTTTGATGGGATTGATTAGTTCACATTAGCCAAGGTGGATGAATTCCACTTTATTTATGCAAATATAACAATTTTTTTTTTTTAGGAATAATTCATCATTCAAGTCAATAAAATGACTTCATGTGGAGGATTTTGACAAACACTTGTTTTTTTTCCAAAATTTGAACCAACACCACCAATGAGCTGCATTGATATTGGAGCATGAAAAATTAGTTTAGATTATGTTAATATAGTGATTTATGCAATAAATTTGATAACTACTTTTAAAAAAATGTGATGATAGAAGAAATTGAAATTTTCATTGAAGTGATTTTATTTTGATGCTTGGTGTGTATGATTATATTGCATTATTAAAAAGTATTATATTCATATATTTGACACGTCATTTATTTATTAGAATGCTAAATGAAAGAATGAGATAAATGATTTGTTAGCTATATTTGATGTAGGATTTGGATCGAGTTTTGACATTGAACGTTTCAAAACTATATAGAAAATAATGAGAACGTGGTTCCTACGGTACCTCTTCTGATCTTATTTATAGAAGGAATCTCCTTTTATTTTGACACTAAGTGAATTATAGTATGTTACATGTCAGAGTCAGTTCAAGGTAGTTTATCACATTGCCTTAGACGAATCAATCTAACCACTTTGAGTCGACTCAGTTTCATTGGCTGGGATGGTTCAGGTCAGCCAACTTTACTTGTGTAGCTTGTTTGGCCTCATTTCGAGTGATCCCAACTTGGGACAAAATTTTCAAAGATTCAAGCTAACAAGAATGGAAAAGGTTTAAACGTTGATATTAATGGAAATGTCGAGRTCTTAATTTTATGAAAATATCAATAAAACATCGATGTTGGTAGATATTTTTTAAAACTAATAAAAATAAAAAATTATAACAAATATTAAAATTATTAGTATAAATATCATGTTTATATTAATTATATTTTATTTTTATTGTCATGAACGTCAATCTCAACACATATTTTGTAAATAATCATGAAAAATTGTATTCTTAAATAAGTTAAAATAAGACAGACTTGTTTGAGTAATAGCAATGAGATTCCCAAATATCTTGCTAAGAATAGCTAGAATTTTCGTAAGAATATGTCATTCGTTTAATGAGAAATAAAAAGGAATATCGAAAATTCGAGTAGCTGAAGCTAAAGCAGCTATTTTTGAAGTAACAGAAAGAAAAACAGAAAAGAGGATTCCTCACTTCTTTCTCTCATTCAAAACCATGCACGAGACTTTCATCTCTCACAGCTCCTAAGCTAAGTGATAAAAGAAATAATAACTCATATTCTTTCCTTTTTTTATTACATTCCTTTTTATGATTACATTCTTTGTGAGTTTAATCCTCCACCCCACATGTACTAAAATAAAAAAAATGAAAAATCACACTTTTTGTTAACTTATTCTTATTTAAATCTATATCTGGATATTTTCCATAAATTGTCCAACTAAAGAAAATTTAACATTAGTGTAGTTAAAAAATAATAATAATTTTTCTCCCCTATTCATTCAAAATTTAGTTGTAATGGACAATATTCAACGAGTAAGCACCTAAATATTTCTCAATAAAAATTTATTTTTGTTCAAATTTTTTAATTGTATGGATCAATTAATAAAAAGTACTAACATAACCATATATTAGTGCCATGTGTGAGTGTTGAATGAACCTAATTAAAGTGACCAAATAAAATTAATTGCCAAATATCCATTATTTTAAATTGATAATAAAAATCAAGAT